TCATCTATATTGAACACTGCAAGTACAGTTGTAATTGAAGATCGCTACGGTTCTACTTTCGGGTTTTTTGCGAACGTTGCCTGGTCACTGTGCCTGCAGGGTACAACTAACAGCCTGTTAGCAGTTTGTTAGATCGTGTTCCTGTCACTCGAGTTGAACCCTTGAACCTTTGAGTTGAACCTTGGTGTGAAAGTTGTAGCCTGCAGGCACAGTGCAGTGACCAGATGACTGGGGTACGCATGAGCATGTGACTGCTCAGACCAAAACCATGTTCGACTGGGAATAAGGGTCAAACGCTGCATCGTACACGGCTGTCCCATGCATGCGACGCGCGTTCATTCAATATGGCGGCCAAATTTTAATCTTTTTCATTTTTTACGCGACCTGGCCTAGTCGTACGTTTGCAATTTCGCTCGACTTCCATCTCAAACAGGCAAGGTCAACCGAAACCACAGGTGTTTGCCAGGTCATTCGATAGAGTTTAGAGCTTGGACTGGCCTTGCCTTCGACTGTGCCGCCGCTCGAGCGATCTTCTTGGGTTACCCACGCGCTACGCATGGTTTCTTTCTCGACGTGGGTGCAATTATTTTTGCATCGTCGCTCGATTTCAAGGGCTCGCCAACGTCGTCAGCGAATTTTCTCCGCCTCGCAGGCAATTTTCTAATATACCTTGTAGCGACCTGACTCACTGAGTATTACGTCATTCTACATAAGCATGCGCAGGAAATAAAATCATTATCTTTGGTCACAACTTCTTCGTTGTCCGGTTGGCCAAAGTAGCCGTCGTCTAGGGCCCGACGTAAAATCCTAAATTGGTGACTCCTGACGCTGCGCTCTTCGGAGTTTTGAGCATGCCATCCCCGAGCTCGGCCCGCCGCAGTTTCCTGCTCGCCTCAACTCTCGGGATCCCGTCAATCGCCGGCTGTTGACGTAAAACTTGAGCCTCACCATCACTGGATCCGCCTCGGAGCTGCTGTGGCCCCTGCCACCCTCCCCGGCCCACCTGGATACCCCGCTATCCTGCCACGGCATTGTCCAGTCGTCCGTATTTGTCCATATTCGTCCTGGCCTCAAGCTGGAAATTGGCCACCTCCACCCGTCGTACCAGCTCACTCACCATGCACGCACGCAGGCACACGCCAGGCACCGGACCCCATGGAGCTGCGCTCGCCTCCATCTGTCCCCGCCTCAGTCGCTAGTCGGCACGCCTCGCCCCAGTGCAGCGCTCCTGCATGCTGGTATCCCGCCAAGCCTGCAACATGCAGCCGCCTCTGACATGATACTACTTCTCTGTCATGCGTACATTTCCTTTCTTTCCGCCTCTGACACGATAACACTCCTCTGTCATGCGTGCGTTTCCTTTCTCTTCTCTTTCTTTTTTCTTGTTCATCGTGCTTCGCTCCTCCCGACCTCACCACTGGCGGGGGAGTACTGTAGCGACCTGACTCACTGAGTATTACGTCATTCTACATAAGGATGCGCAGGAAATATAATCATTCTCTTTGGTGACAACTTCTTCGTTGTCCGGTTGGCCAAAGTAGCCGTCGTCTAGGGCCCGACGTAAAATCCTAAAACCTCGATGTCCTAGCCTTTCGATTTCGTGTATTCCTAAGCTTGACGTGCATCACTGTAGCTTTTCGTGGCCATTTTAGAGACATTATTTTGTTCAGAAATGGAGGCTCGTGTTAGCATCCTGTTGTCGTGTTGTCGTATTGGAGGGGAGAAATTCGCGTCAAGGAGTGGACGGACGAAGTATCGTGTGGCAGATCATACTGAATCCATTTTGGCAGTGTTTCATCTCAATGTGGATGAAACCAAATACACCCTGAACATTTTTGCCACACTTGCAAATTGGCCATGGAATGCACTGCTACTGCCAGGGGCCCAACATTCTCTAGAGCTCCAGAGGTGGATGTACACCGCTCTAAGACTGGGAGCCACACAGTGGGATAGGCCTTGACAGATTATGCTAATATTTTCGTGAAATTATGCTTTTCGCATTGCTGAAAAAATTGCAGAATTATGCTATTTTTATGCTAAAAGTTATCACATTATGCCGCATCATGCTCACATATGCTGCTAATGAACATGTATAATTATGATACATGTAGCTACGACCGTCACCCTGGTCACTGATTGTAGTGGACTGGACATGTTATCAAGGGAGTCGTAAACCTACGCCTTCCTGGTGCGTCTACTTGTACTTGTAGAACATGTACAACTGTATACTATGGAATTTGATGCGAACAGGCGGATTATACCAATTTTATGCGATTCGTATGCAATTTGCCTTGAATTATGCGATTATTCGATTTTGGTAGGAATTATGCGAAAAATTATGCTAGCATAATCTGTCAAGGCCTACAGACAAACAGACAAACTGTTTGAAATGCAAGCCTTCCAAGCCTTGCAGGAAGTCCAAATGCAAAACACAAACGCAAGACAAACTTGCGGCATGGGAGAAAACGCGGGCCATCGCCCGCAAGCACGAGCACATGCACGCCGCCAACACTGACAGCAGCATCGCCAACAAAACCTCGCCCCACCGCACCAGTACCTGATCACTGGATACTGAAAAGCGTGAAATTTTCGCGGCGTTTTTAGTTCACGTTTTCAGAATCCGGACAGGTTTGCGAGGTTTTTTTTGCGATTGCAGAATGGCATTCTTGCTAAACCTGTAGCATTCTTGCTAAACCTTTCATGGATCTCCTTTTCGCGCTGTCTAAATTTCGCGATTTCCACGCGGTCGCGAATTTCGCAGAAATTAGACCATCAGGCAATAAGTTCACGGTTTACAGTAGTTTAGTCAGTTTGGTTTACGAATTCCGAAAAAGGCAGACAAACAAAACGAACAACAAGAGAGTCTCATGGACTGAATCTGATGAGCAGCAGCACGTCACACCCACATACCAAGCTTAGTAGTAGTAGTAGTAGTAGTAGTAGTAGTAGTAGTAGTAGTAGTAGTAGTAGTAGTAGTAGTAGTAGTAGTAGTAGTATAGTATTTATTCATATTTCTCTAAAGCTTAGTGGGTAAATCTCTGCATCCAGAACAGTTCAGATAGGAATGCCATAACACACGCACAATGTCCACTATGTCACAGTGTGGTAGGGAGAGAAGTGTTTGCAGCTTGCTGGTAGACGTTCAGCCGTGCATGCTTTGGCAAATGGCTAGAGCAGATGGCCCGCTGCCCTTAATGTAAGGCACACACGCAAGCGTCAGAGCTACAGCAGCCAAACAGCATAGTTTATGGATTCATGAAAGACTGCACCATACACTGCGCCAGCTCTGGTAGGGTACCCTATTCGAGCATCGTCACTGGTCGGTGACGTTTTGCAGGCCTCACCATCAAAGATACGAGGTGATTCTGCTGATCGACTTGCTGGCATGATACTTCAGTAGTCACAAGCATAACTAACAAAGGATGGCTGGAAGTCAAAACCAGCTCTAGATGCAGATTCCAGGTATACCAGAGAATTACTGACGCCAGCACTTTATCCGATGCCCCATCAGCGTCAACTGTACGCCGATGGTCACAGGACCGTGACAGCCTTTCGATCCGTCTACCGTTGGGAGACGGGTCTGCAAGCCCAAAGCAGCGGGTATATAGTGTTCGTCACCAGCTGAGCACTGAGAAAGCTTGCTGAGAGATTTAGGTGTGCACTGTTCAGCAACCAGTCCCAATATAGGTTTATCCATGAAGGCTGGTGATCCTCAGCTATCATACAACAAATTCTTACTCGCTGCGCATATGCGCATATGGCTTGTGAAACAGCAGCAGAAACTGCACTGCCTTGACAAACGCACCAGTTACCATGATGGAGCAGATATGCCCAGCCCTGGAAGCCAACACCAAATCTCCAATCGCCTGTACAAGTAGCTCTTCACCAAATTATGCCTAGTACTTGCAGTGATATTTTCAGCAAGAGCGCTGCAGTTACTGCTGAGGAGATATATTGCGTCCTTGAAGTTGAAGGCGCTCATCAAAGATTTCTTGCCATGAATTCTTGGCCTTATGCAGGCACGAGGTGGTCTCCCGTAGCATTGGCCATATTACCCCGAGCTGCACTTGCTCGAGGAGCACGTTGTTTCGCTCATGGAAGTCCTTCGTGTTGGAGTAGGTTTGCTGAGAGAACAAAGCGCTGAATCCATCCACGTCCACAACTACGAATAATTTACAAAAACATTCCTACTGCAGATCAGCGCTTGAAAACGGCGATGCAAATCAGCGACGTTGGGCTTCTCCATTCAAAAGGAGAGCCTTTCCTAACAAAGCAATTCTCATGTGACACTACATAGTCTCTGAAGCACTCTAGTTGTTGTTGTTGTTGTTTATTTTACTTCGCAGATTCTAACGGGCAAGTTGCCCAATAACAAGAAAGCGAAGGTCTTCAGGTCTTCAGGTCCTCAGGTCTTCAGGTCTTCTTCTCTCCACTCCATTATCATTTTTCGATCTTCACTCGGTCGACGTGATGGTAGTAGCTATGTAAATAATTATGATGGATTCCTCCCGATCCTCGTCGCGGCTAAAATTTGTTCGGTGTTTGTCTAATTTCTCAAACTGACAGGGTTTACAGGAGAAAGGTACCTAATTTTGTGCGATTGATGCAAATAAATCGGAATATGTCCGACTTCATAAATCCGTGCGGTAAACCGCATGAAAGGACGCCATGTCATTAGTTGGTGCACATGAAGTCACCGTGCGTAGCCTTTCGGACCAAAACCAGTCGACTCAGCACGCAAAAGACTACAACATATGGGCCAATTGCGGTCAACCGTGCTTTCATAAGAACGAAATGGCCGCTTTTAGTGACATTTTGCATACAAATCCCCATCCAGTAGGGCGCAGTCACCCAGTTTCATTGGAAGTGGCGAGTTCTATTGGGAATAAAGGAGGACGGGCGCGTCTCAGCTTCTTCGGACAAAGGCCATTCGACTCAGCACCCTGAACGGATGAAAATTTGATTTTAGGCTTCCCCTTTAATACCAGTTATTTTCTTACCATTCGTGGCCGTACACGTCCCAGCATATAACACGAACAACAGCAGCTGAATCAGAAAAATTGCCGACGTGTCGAAACGCCATCGTTGTTGGCCACTAGTCACATTTAGCATTCTGACTTTTCCACTTCACCACCAATACTTCGTACCCTGAAGTGGATCTAGTTCTAGCTCTCAGCAAGGCTGCCTATGAGTCAATGGACTAGAACATGTTCGATTTGGTGGACGGATCCAAAACTACCTGATACGATATACACTGTTTCTTGCACTACATAGCCCCTACTGTTGGCGACAACCACCTCCGTGGTTTGGAAAAGAAAAAGATTTTGCCGGATCAGATTTTACTCAAAGGCTGACCAAATAGCTGTGTCACTAGTAACTGTTGTTGGTCTTGGCCCTGTCAGTGTCAGGCCTTCTCCTCTAGCCTACTCTGTAGAGACTGTACTCTCTATCGTTCACGATGAGAAAATGCTCACTCGTCTTGCCAAACAACCCACACGAAGTGGAACATTTATTTTTGTTGTGTCTGAACGTGGTCTACGTGACAGTACAAACAGCTAAAGCAGAACTTGCAGTCCACTGTTTGAGAGTTGCGTGTTGTTGGCCCCTCTCAGTCTCACTCAGTCTCCAATGTTGCATGCAGTCACGCATTCAACAGAACAGTAGCCTAGCCTGTGTACTGGTGTGGACTTGGTGCCGGTGGTAGTTGTGGCCTAGACTAGACTGCATGCAGTTCTGGAGTAGATCATAGAGATACGGGCCACAGCTGCTTGTGAGTCCTCAACACATCAGGAGCAATCTGTGACGCGCATATCCCGTTCCTTTGATCCTCTGTTTTAGTCCATCGGCCAAATCTCAGAAAAGCCCTCTTTCGGAGAAGGTGGTGCACTGAAGCTCCAAGTAAACGCCCTTTGGCACACTAGCTCATGAGACCCCATAGAATACGAATCCGATAGTTGGACGTTGCCAATCCAGTCCAGGATAGTCGAACTGGGTCGAATACCTTCTTCCGTTTTTCGTAATTTCGTCCACCATTACATCTTTCTCATCGACTTTTTTTGGCGTGGCGAATGTTCTTGACCCGCTGAGCAAAATCTGCGCACGCTCGAACACTTGAAATGCCTGCATGTTGACGGTTCGCAAGATTCTAGCGAGCTTGGTGGAATCTATTATTTATTTGGACATTTTGGGAAATCTGAATTAGAACGGTAGAATTATATAGAAGCTCATTCGGAGAAGACGGCGTGTCGCCGCTGTCGGATTGTCGATACTGTGTTTCAGACGTATTTGCTTGAACGTGCTATTGAGGATGGACAGAAGATGAAGTGACGGCTTTCTTGAACACCGACGTTTTGTCTACATTGTAGGTGAAACATCTCATCTGGCGTCTAGAACGCAATTATTATGAGTTGTGAGTGCCAGCTGTACACCATTCGTCAGCTGGGAATTTGCATCGAAGCTCTTGATAGCCACTGTGACATATTCCACCAGCATTGAGTTAGTGCTTATACTCACATTTCCATTCACACCGTATTCCCACACTTACATCATCTACACTTGCATTGTGTTACTTATCACCTATGCTCTCCCCCCTATATATACCATGCTATCTACTCCCATTGAGTATCTATTACTCAGCTCAAGAAGCTGTTAAATGGTGTCAGAAGTAGGATTCGAACCCACGCCTACATAAGTAGAAATGTGAGTATATGCACTAACTCAATGCTGGTGGAATATGTCACCTCTTTCCTTTCCCTAATGATTAGTAGTGTTACATGGTGTCAGACGTCGGATGCTGCAGATTCTGCAAATTCAAGAACCATGGACCAGCTCAAGCCGCCAGAACAGCTCCTGATCAACAGTCCCACCAAGGCGGACGCGTGGAGGCGGTTCAAACAGGCGTTTGAATTTTATTCAATTGCCTCTGGACTCAAGGACAAGGATGGCGCTATCCAAGCCGCGGTATTCCTCCATATCATAGGAGAAGATAGTCAGAAAGTGTACCAAGCATTGCAGTTTGACACAGAGGAGGACAAGAAGGACATCGACAAGCTGAAGGAGAAATTCGAAGAGTTCTGCGTCCCGAAAGCAAATGCAACAATGGAACGATACTTATTGTTCACCCGGAAACAGCAAGAAAATGAAGACATTGACTCGTATACCATGGAGCTCCGTAGAATAGCGGAGAGGTGCGAGTTTCCAGGTACGAAGGACAGCATCTTACGGGATTGCATCATTCTGGGTGTGCGGGATGACGGACTCCGCAAGGAACTTCTTCGACGAGACGAGAGTCTAGAGAAAGTGCTGTCCTCCTGCAGATGCAGAAAAGCTGCTCAACGACATATTATTATTATACATTTGACCCACGAAGCGGTTGGTTTAGAGACAGACAAACGTGACATTGACGCTGAATGGTCACAGAAGAAAATACAAGCTAGACCTTCAGTGAAATCCTGCGGATACTGTGGGGGAACACATCTTCCAAGGCAGTGTCCGGCGTACGGTAAAACATGCACAAAGTGTAGCAAGGTCGGTCACTTTGCTAAGGTGTGCAGAAAACAGCCAAAATTACCAGCAGTCACAGCAATGGAGCAGACAGCAGTACAAGCGGAAGACGTTCAGACCCGGTCGTTTGGAACGATCCTGGTCAGTGAACTATCAGCAGACAGATGGAAGGAGACCATTCTCCTCGATCAAAGACCAACGTTGTTCAAGCTAGTCACCGGTGCAGTGGCATCCGTATTGCCATTTTCAGTCTTCAGGAGCATACGGGCAGACCAGCAGCTTGACACAACTACTACCATTCTCTCTGGTTTTGATCAGAGCACGGTTCGACCAGAGGGAACGGCCACTATCAAGACAACTTACCAAGACAAATGCATACCAGTTACCTATTATGTCAGCCGGAAAGTAACCTGCCCGATTCTTGGGCAGAAAGAATGCGAAGCTCTACACCTCGTTCAACGCATATTCAAATCAAGCTCGAAAGCTGTGAGAAAGTCATCGAGCAATACCAGGACGTAGAGACCGTAGTTGGAGAGTTTGAAGTGAGGTACCCTGTAAAATGATTCCTAGTTGATTTTGGCGCGTTTGTTCGGTCACGTGATTCCTGCCGATTCCCATTCCAGAATGGTTGTCATTAATTTATATTCTGAAAATGCCCAACCAAACGCAACCTACCAGGTAAGTGTCGAGCAGAAGGTGTACTGGCAGTTTATGCCTGTCTTATTAGTCTAGACATACTGATATGGTATGTTTACGGTATCCAAAACAGCTCTTCCCAGCTGTGCGTCGACCACGGTGTGGGAGAGTGAGCAAGCCTGGTCAGCTGCTCCCATCAAATAAGGGAAGTACAAGCGCAGTATACGTGTATATTGAGCAATTATTTCAATAGCGGAACTTGCCATGTACATGTACATGTACATATCCGCTGTCTGAGAATTTAAAATAAGTCCATGACAGAAGACAGTCTCAGTTATAGCAGGAATAACGTCGTCTCCTGTGAGTGCATCCATTGCCTTTGACTCTAGGGCTCTGAATCCGACACTGTGAACACTTTATTTCAGCTGACCGGACTGCATGGCCATGAGGCATGACTCTGCCCCGCTGTACATGGCACTGCACACTGTACATACATGTACATGTATATGATCACAGTCTACCCAATGCTGTAGACGGCTAGCTGATTCAGCCATAAACTAAAGGCCTCATCACCGACATCAGTACAGCTACGAGGGTATGTGAGCCGACAAAGCAGGGCTCCATTTGAGCCATTCTGACTGCACCGATAGTTATTCATATACAATGTATTCTGAATAACAATCCATTTGACTCATTTTGAGATGTCCTGTCTTCCCCTGATTGCTCGCGTATGTCGTTATGTAAAAAGGTATGCAAACAATACTGCAATGGCAATGATCTAGACAACAGACTGCTGCCTGCCACTCTATTAGTACTTTACACTACAGTCATGTCATGTACAAGTAGATGTAATAAATTATGTGAATGCCTGCCGGCAAAGGACGGAAGCCATGGAGACACATGTGCCCTACAGCAGGATGCTGTTCTCTGTAATGACTACCGGTGCGTGTACATGCACATAATGTACATCTATGTGGTCTGTAGTCAGGTACGATGCCAAGAAATACATCCGGTCATCGTCCATATCATGTCAATACACTGACTCAGGCCCGCACCTCAGCCTCTCACTCTCACTTTCAGGCTAGTCTTGCCTGTGAGCAGGCATCCCCTTCATTTGCACGAGCCTGCCAGCGTACGTGTATATTCTCGGAAGTGAAACACAATCGGAAAAAAGTTACTCGTTTAAAAAAAAGGAAACAATGGAGATAATTATTATAATGTGGCCACAGAAACCTGGCCTGGGGTTTGTCTCAAGTATGACAGTATTCGGTTCCCCGACTCACCCACAGGCTCTACGGAACGATACAGTTCCGTCGAAGCGGCAGGAGGGACAATTGTGGTGGTGATGGAAGCTCTCTGCTCGACCCGGATGCTTGTTGACCCATTGCGGAGACAGCGATACAGCACTGACCAGCCAGGCTCAAATTACTAACACAGTAAACCCAGTATTACTAATACACACAGTCGTCTAAGCATTTTTTGGCGTTTGAAAATGTGTATTTTACTGATGCATTATTTCCTGCTTTCTTCTCTAGTTTTGTATTGCATTTTAATGCATTGGACTCAGATGGCGAGCCAAGGAAAATATTAACTAAATGGAAGAATAAAAGAGGAACACGGTGGGGCACAAGTTATCTCCTTGTTTCCATATACACAAGAGAGAGTTTGGAAGCTTTGTCACAACTCCGAGTTTCACGTATCTCTACGATCATCAGGCAACTGATGGATCCAAAACGGGCAGCCAGAACATAAGGGGGAGCAAGGTGGGAAATTCCGAGGGGTGTCATAGGCGACGCGTATCATAGCGCAAGAGTCAGGTGCAGGCGTGAAGTTGCCAAGTCTTCAGACTTGGGGCTATGCAGCAGTAGTTCCGGCATGAATGATATAGAATAGAGCTATATTAATCCATTGTGGGTGTTGTGAACCCTCTGGTTCTCTAAAGTGTCAGGAACGAACGACCCCACACGGCACGAGGACAACTATTTATTCTCAACAGTATATTTCACTTCCATCGATTAACAACAATGAATGAAAGAATGAATGTACAACTGAAAGAATGAATAACTAACACTAAAACCACCAGGTAGTTATAGCGTGAAAATGACAGCGTATATGAGAAAAGCATTCACATACAGCATACAACTACAGCGCACACAGCAAACCGCACATAGCGCATGTAGCGTATACGTTGTAAACATCAGCGGTACCGCGGTGTCGGGATACAACTGCATTGACACGAACACAATGTCACAAGCGAGAAGGCCTTTCACTCTCCAGAACTTGGGGTTTCACAACATTCTCCCCACCAAAGGGCTTCTCACCGCCGTACTACAACTCACGAGTCAAAAGCGACCAGGGCTCTGACTACACGCCCAGAACGAGTCATCCGCTGCTGTGGGGGTGGCCAAGGTGGAATATTACCAGTGCTCACC